ACATTAGCTGTCCCTATATCAGTGACATATCTTATCTGCCACAGCTATTTTTTAGCTCTGGAAGCTAGTTTTTTTTTTTTGCGTGCATGGCACATTAGTCTATCATGCGTTTATTAACACAAATATAATATAATGCTGTTAAAACAGACATTACAATAATTTTGTTTCAAGCATAATCGGGAACTACTAGCGATGAAAATGTTATATACTTTGAAATACAATTTATTAATTACAAATACAATAGTCCCGAGGATGGAAAACAAAGAATTGAATAATTTTCATTGGTTCTATGATGAATATTATGAATAAATATTTTTTATTTCTTAAATAATTTTTCTCTCAGTGTAAATAAGAATCACCCCTTAAAATACATTTTCTAAAAACGCGTCTTCTTTCGTTCAGTTAATAATAAATCAAATCAACTGTCGCTAATGTTAATCGAAATTTTGTAAGGACTTTCGGTCGCGTCATGTGCTACGTTCACACATTGCAAGCGTTATTCTAAAGCACGTTTCTCTTTCATATTTGATTATCGACTAGCACCCTCTTCGGAGAAAATCATCGATCGACCGTTTCAATAAATGACACGTGTCAGACTTGACGACGCGCGACGATCAGTATACAATGTTGCATTCGGCGGATTACTCGACCCACGCCTCGAAAGAAGGTCTCGATTCAAAATTCTTCGCTATCGCCGCGTTTCATCGAGAATTTCGTATCGTTGGAACGCAATATTACGAAAGCGTGGAAGTCGTTAGAAAGCAAGTCTCATCGAGACATGTCGATGTCGAGTAGAGATCGATCAAATTCTATTTTATCGGAGGATCTCATACGATATTTTCTACGGAAAGTACAATCATTTAAAAGTATATCAAATGTAAAGTATTATCTCATTTAATATTAATCGACCATTTAATTCGGTCGTTTAAGTCGTCTCGGATAGAGAGAATAAAGGGTTAGATTCCGCGGTAGTAATCGACAGGTTTGAGAAACCTTACACTCACGCGGGAAAGATCCCTTGAAAGCGTTATCGTGAGGACGTCGTATCTCTTTTTCCAAGAATAAAGACGGCGTTCTAGAGGGATGCAGCCACTTGAAATTCAATTCGCCGGTGTCGTAAGAGGGGAAATCGAACGAGGGAGGCCATTGTAACGGCCCCCATGCTTTGCTTACAAAGCGCTAGGGACTAACAATGCATTAAGTGCGCAATCACATCCATCTCATCCGATACACTATTTGCCCTTTGCGCGTAAGAGTCCGCTGGTTGAAACCACCAGCCCGCGGCCGTCGCGCCGATGAGAGAAGAAAAGACGCGAATTAATTCGCGCCTGTCGACGATCAATTGATGCAGTTAAACTTGACTACTGCAAAAACTCATCTGTCGTAGCGGGGGACTCGAGTTAACTCTGTTTAATGAGATTAACGGCTCGTTATTCTTCGAGGAAGATTTGCAAGTCGTGTGATACACAGAAACTACCGTGCCTTTCGATCGTAACGATTCGCAGAGGAATTGACCGAAAGATAGAATAGCGGAGGTGATATAGAGGTATAAATGTATTACCATGCGGAAAAACGGCTCTCATCTTCAGATAACTCGTGGTCAGCCTGATGATACTAGCTTTGTCCAGTTGTGTTGTAATAGCGGCTGGCAGCGGCAACAGTTTCGCCAACTCCAAAAACTCCTGGTTCTCCTTAACACGGCGCGATCGCGCCGCGTTCTTGCTTTTCTCTTTCATCACGCTTTCTTGCGGGCTGGACGCGATGAGGTTTTTGATCAAATTGTTATTAACGTAATCTTCTTCTTGTTGGCTGTTTTGTTGTTGATAACAGTCGACGTGAGAGATCAGGTCCAGACTGTCCGTGGAAGGGCTGCCACCTGTACAAATACAAAGTGATTTCTTTTTCCTATTATATTAACATTATAGTAACATAACTGTGCGTTTATTTGAATACATAAGGTCTGAAACTAAGTAGGAAATATCGGAGTTATATACTCAGATTTATGCATTTCCATCGCGCAATCATTCGCTAATCTCTTTTAAATAATAGCTAAAAAACCCACGCGGTCAAATGGCATAAGATGTTTTGACCTACATATACACAAGATATGGGACACTTATCTATCGTCAGACACTCTGTATAATTTGATAAGAAAATATAATCTCCCAAATATTAAAGTTACGTTAAAGTTACCCCAAACATTGTCAAGTTTTACACCTCTTTTACACAATTCTCTTACACAAAAAGAACAATGACATTTGAAAAGTTGGTAAATTTGATGTTGAGTAAATTTGATCCATGTTTGAGGTTCTAGAGTTGAAAACAAATTTCTAATGAAAAAATGTCGATTTTATGGTAGGTAGAAATGAATGTACCAAACGGTATTAGATATTTGCGTACGAGTCTGGCAAAGCTCTGTACGCGACCTGTCTGCGCATGTAAAATCGATGCAGCGATAATCGCAATCGCGTTGCACAGTGTAGTAGCGTAAAATAGTCACGCTATCGGCGTGCCGGGTTGAATTAACTCCGCTGTGCCTGACATGGCTGAGTATACATGAGTTCAAGTTCCATACGCGTTATAATCGCGATTTCTCGTCGATGTCGCCAATGAAGATGCCGGCGTGATATCGATAAGAATATCGTGAGCAATGTTGACAGTCTATTGAAACAGACAAATTCTTTGTCAGTTGTATTCACACCTATACAGGGAGAACGATTTCTTTAGATTTAATAAATTTTCTTAAATTCACAGAAATGTGAAAAAATAATCCAAATAAACCGATTCAAAGTAAAAAAAATTTTTTTTTAGTCTTTCAAATAGTTTTATTGTTGAAAATTGTTTTATAACGAAGAAAATTTACATTATCTAGAGATGTGATATCATAAACTTTGAATATTTAAAAACTGAAACGAGCTATGCCCTTTATATCAGGAACATTGCTGGAATGTCATTACAAGAATTTCGACGAATTTTTACACTTTGCACAGAATCGTAGCGAATAAGCGGAAAGCTCGTTGAACCCGTAGAGATCGAAATTTTGCAGGCGCAATTATTTGTCTTGCAATATTGGGGGTCGTGACTTTATTTCGAAATCACGTTCGAAGCTTTCAAGCCGAATTACAATTTTTCCGTATGAAATAGAATCGTCTGTAGACATCGCATACAACCCGCAATACTGGGATGACGAAATTTTTTCATTTTCCATCACTTTGAGGACGCGTGACAAAACCGTCGGAAAAATTAAAATCGAATAGAAATTAGAAGAATCATTCCAATGAAGAGCCGACGGGAGACAGATTTTTCCACCGTAAATCCATTTTACCACTATGTGATTCCGAATATTATCTTTTTCGCAAGCTCTTGAGAAACAGAGAGAAAGGAGGAATTAAAATTCCAAATGATGTTGAATATTATTAATCATTTACACGAACGAAATCTGTTAAATAACGCGAAAAAAAATGACAAATCTATTCACCGCCTACATATTTCGATGATTTATTAACTCGTAAGCTTTGCGATTCGTGGCGGAATCGAGATGAGATTCAATTAAATAATCTCGCGTGTTAAATCGGTGACTGAAATGAATTGCCCGAATACTCTCTAACACGTGTAGGAGATTTTGACCGCGCTGTTCGTGAATGATACGACGCGAATCACGCATAACGACGTCGAAGCTCCTCGTTATAAGAAACGAAAGCAAAGGGAGCAAGCCGTCATTAAAACGCCAGCGAGAGAGCAACCTAACGACGCAGCTACCCGGACTTCTCTCGGATGGAAATTCGCCTGAATAATGCATTCTTTTTCTTTGTCGCTTCCACTTTTGTATTCGACGGCTGCTCACAACTGTCCCGCCGTCGATTTTGTTGCCAAGCGCGAATTTTCTCCCGAGCACTGAGATCAACGTTACACTTTTCCTTTTTGTATTTTGGGAAACTTATCACTTGGTCCTTCTTCCTCCTTCTCTTTTCCCTTTATTCGTGAATAAAAAGAAAAATTGTGGAACAAAGAATTGAAGAATTCTCTTCTCGTGATATTGTTACCGATGCTCGCAGCAAAGCGGAACGTCTCGATGTCAAGTACCCGCTCAATTTTAATTCTAGATTTAATATCATTATATATAACGTTCCACTTTATGTCGTGTAGCAAGGAAATTTTGAAATATGCTTCATTTGAAGTATGATCGCCATAGCATTGCCCACAGTTAGAGAAAAATATACATAAGAACACAAGAAAATATCAGCAGATACAATGCACTTTTTTAATAAACGCAATTTTTGATGAAAATGTATAAATTAATGAATGCACACATAAAAGATGTTTATTAGAAAGAATGATTTGCATATATCATACCTAGATTTTTATAGAAAACTATGTTATTTCACATCCTGTTGTATAAACATAATATTGGGCATTGAATTAAAATTTATATGTTAATCAGAAATAGCAATTTATTTATTCAAAAACTATTTGTTTCTTCTCTAAAATTCTTAGTATAAAATCTATTCAAAACAAGTAAAACAAAATATTCTGCAAAATGTTTTTTGATGCATTTTATCGATGCATTTCCGACTGCACTGACCAATAAGCAGGTATAAGTAAATATAGGAGGAAACTAAGGCTAATGGATAGGAAAGAACGGATCTGTATGTTGCTAATGTATTTCTTTCACCATTGATCTTGAGAGGAACGCAGTGGATAGAAAATCGTGAAATAACTCTTTTAGAATATAGATATTTTTCTCTAAATTATTTTCAGTATAAAATCGGAATAATATGTGTTACAGTTAAAAATAGGAAAAACTGATTTAGCAATAGCACAATAAATTTCCGGATCTCGAAATTTCGTACTATCGTGAGTGAATATATGAGTGAATGATAAAGTTAAGTGTCAGTAGCTAGAAAAAAGTTTTTTGTGTGATATACTGTTTCAGATAATAGAAGCAATTTTCACTCATATAATAATTGAAATCGAGTGTATGAGCGAATGAGTTGGCTCATAATTAACGACCAGCAGTAGTCTCCCCATTAAGAGTCTATAAAAACCGTGCATTGGATTCAAATACAAGTTTTACTATAATGTATCAATATAGATGCCTGAAACATCACATATCATTACAAATATTTCAATCTTCTTTGGGACTTTCTTCAGCGTAACACAATACCGTCGAATTATAGACTCTCTTTCACAACTTTAAAGAAGCAGACTCTTAATAATTTTATTGATTTTCTTAGATAATCTTAGAGTTTATTTTTTTATTTTCTTTTATGGATACATAAAATTTTCTGGAGGTTATCTTAATGTTAAAACTTTTCAGACACTTAATTGTCGTAATTGACTATACGAAGATAATAAAACAATCTTGTTCACGTGCGTTTTTAGGCAAATACGTGAAATGGAAACAAAGGAAAATATTACCTTCTTGACTAAAATAATCAAGTGGGCTGTTTTGTAGATAAAAACACAACTGGGCGACATCTGATATTGTTCTATCATCTTCGATCGACGGCATATTATACACTTTATATTGCAATTCGATTCGTTCCAGTGGCATTCAGTCTTTATGTAGTTACACTTACATATCACCAAAAATACGTACACTCAGTTTCAGTTGATACCATAATTGAATATATAACAATACGAGTTATTTCGTGATAAAAACAAAGAAAATCAGTTTCTATCTTCATTCGAAACGACAAGTTTCGAACTAACGTATCGAACTACGTCGAATTTCAAACTGAAACTTTCACTGCGAACCTTGCATTTTGCTTCTGTCTTTCCTTTATTCTCCTTCTCTATCTATCCTCCTACCCTCAAAACAGACCAATGTCGCCTCTCAGTCTATGGCCTCCGTTCTTCGTTCATGCCTGGTACTATTTCCCAATGGGAGATCAGAGTTTGCCACCCTTATTTTAAGCCCCACCCTGACGAAGAAAGGTTAGTCTATAACGGCTCTTATGTGCATCCAGATGCAAAAGTTTTTTTCATTGTGCATATTTTGTATTACCTTCGACTTTTGTATGAAGGATAAAGTGAAGACCGAGAAACTCGACATCTTGCGCACAAATTTTAATGAAAATTTTTTCTTTAAAAAAGTTGTATTTTGTGCGCTGTTTTATGATATCGTTACGATCCGACCGATAAAATTATTGATTGTTGGGAATATTGTTCCGAAGCATCCGTTGACAGTTTGAGGTTTAGTTCGTGTAAGGTGACGTTTCGTCCACGAATTGTTGTGACATTTATACAGCTCTTACTCTAACTGTAATTCTTACGATACATAATACTCAATTGGTATATTTTACTAAAGACTAAGCTCTTCATCTCGACGTATCTTTTACGCAGAGTGGAACAAAGACTGTTCCATCGCGTTTATTCCATCGGCGTTTATCGCGCGACGTTCAGTTAGGAATTAAAAATACATATTTTGAGATGCGATATAACTCACGAGCTCATAATTTCATCGATAATGATCGTTCAGAATCGCTCACTGGGAGCTTTGATCTCGAAGCATTTGTAGCATTGCCGATCATCAATCTTTCGAAAGCTGTTTTTCTTCACTTATTCTCCATTTTATGTAACAATGTTTGTCACGTGACATCTTATGAGTTATTTTTTGTGTTCAAAAGAATTCGAACTCGTTGCTTACTGCTAGTCATTTAAAATACATTAATAATTTCACAAACGGTGGACAAAGAACGCCTTTAATTGCCTTTGTCTACTTGAAAAAAATGTCTGGGATAGTTCAAAGGTCCGGTAGTAAAAAGCTACGAGCGTGTCTGAACCGTTCTTCCTTGGAATTTCTGCATCTGGACAATTTAAAAATAAACCACCTGCCACGGAAGGTATCTTAGCAGGTCTACGATGATTTCCTAC